AAAAAGCAGTTGTGTTCACCTTTCAGTTCAGTGTCCAGAGTCTGACAAACTGTATCAGTTTCCAAAAGAGTTTGAATCCGGTGAAGAGAAAAGAGTCCCTCCACAGGCCTCCAAAGCCAAGATGGTTAGTACATGTTGCACTGCTGTGTTTCTCTTGAAAGAAAGAATGTGGAAGTTGGGGTTTTTCCCCTCAGTACAAACTCTAAGTTGTAGTTATGAAGATACTAAATCACAAACTCACCTAGATTTCTATATATTCTTAAATTTCTCTGGTGGAATTTTCTCAGATCCTGTTTGTCCTGGATGTTGTTGTTAAGACAGTATCTTCAAGGAGAAAAGAGGGCCAAAGAATAACTATTAGTCTAAAGAGCATAGTCTAAAGAGCATAATTTTAGTCTAACTTAGTCTAAAGAGCATATTTTTTTTTCAGAAGTGCCACTTTGGGGATATAGACCTTAAATCTATGATGTATCAGAATAAATGAAATATTAAGACATGTAGAAAGTCCAGACAACTTAAGTAAATACCAAAATTCAGTACTTGAAAATTCAGGTAATCTAAGCAAGTAGAAAATATCACCATACACACAATCATACTGAAGTTAGCAAAAGATTGAGAAGAAGGATATATATCAAGCCTCTAATAAAGTATTAAAAGAAACTTAACATAACTAAAGTAACTAAGTGAGAAAGTCATCACTAACACAAATTTACATGAATTTGTACTTTTAAAATTAAAGAATTACTATGATGATGTAAAGACTCCTGCTGGGAAACCTGATTTTCTGAGCTCTCTTCATGGGTCGCATGTCTTGGAAGGAATGATAAGCTTGTGCCTATTGAAAATCACCCCACCATAGACTAAATCTGTGTCCATGCCCTCCACTATCATATTTTGGATTGGGAATTTTAGAAAACACTTAGATTATGAAACTGGGGTCCTCATGAATGTGGTCATTGCCTTCAGAAAGTGCAAACCTTCCCATTTGTGTGAGGTAATGAGGTGTTGTCAGTGTGCAAACAAGAGTGCCTTCACCAGAACAGAAGTGAATGACCTCAGCTATCTCATGTTTGGCTTTGGGAGCTGTGTGAAATAAATTCTGTTGTTAAGAGTCATAGTCTCTTATACCTACTTAGGGCATCCCAAACTGATCATGGACTATCTCTAGCTTTGGTGTCCCTGCACCCTGCTCCTAAAGTACTAATATGTTTTCATAAACCTCACAGCAATTTAAAGCATAAAACTCATTAACAGGTGAACAGTGACCACTACCTCCAATCTGCTTTGTAGTGTGTTTAAGCCACTGTTGGGCTGAACAGAAAACACTCTTCTAAGAGTTGATCACACTCTAAATGCTTCAATAAAGGGCTTAGCTCAAAACTTTCAGCTGATATTTTAGCTCTCCACACATTAAAATATGTTTGTTAAGTATTTTTAATACAACAGAAATAAAGGTAAAGATACTTATACACTGGGAAAGAATCCAAAATGTCTGACAACTAAGAAGAAGAATTAAAAAATAAGATATCAATAATAGTATCCAAACCATGAATTGAGGAGTTACTAAATTGAACATATCCAAGACATTCTATCTTTTTTAATGGCACTCTCAATGTCTGAATTCAAAATAATACAGCTGAAATAACACAAAGATAGAAATTAAAACAAACACATGAAACATATTTGTTTATAATAAGTTAGTATATTAAAATTCTAGATTTTTTTCAAATACACTGAAAATTCTATAAGAATTGTGTTTATTCGTTCAATATTCTTTAAAATGTTTTAAATTGATTTTTTGTGTATTTCATAGAGAACATCTCAATCAGTCTTAATCATCTTTATACCCTCTTCCCCACTAGCACCTTCTCATAGCCCCCCACTGGAATGAATACATTCTGTCATTTGTCTTAAGGTCTATTGTGTCAAGGTAGTGTCCCCAGACATTCCTCAGTGCACGTTCATCTACTGAGGTCTAGTGAGCCTATCTAGAGTCCCTCATTTTAGGAAGATCAGTTCTTCCTCACCCAGCAGTAATCAGTTGCCTGCTCTTTCCAATATTCTTAACTTTATTGTTTACAGTGTGTGTATACGTGCTTCTTTGAGAAATTATGTTTGAGAGTCATGATTTAATATGATTTAGGCTAATATTTCTTAGCAACTTCTCTTATTGGATTAAAACCCTTACTATTTCTGCAGTTTTCCAATTTAGAAGTTCCCATGAGTCACACTGTGCTCAAATAGTGAGGAGAAGGGGATTGGTTAGACAAAACCTTGTTCCTTTCTGGAATCTCTAGTGGAAGATCCATTTATTCTCTCTTCCAGGTCCTAGAGGCTGAACATTTTTTATAAATGTGGACAAAATTCCATCTTCAATATTGACAATTTTTCATAGATATTTATTTCTCAGCTTCCATGATCTAAATCTTAATAATTATCCAGTTTGAAAGGTTATGATTTTATTGTGAACACTATAATAATCTACCAATTCAAATATATTATCTCATTCACTTACGCAAGGTGTCTTTGCAGTGTAAAGGAGTATACTCAAGAGGTTTCAAGTAGTTTGAAGAGGACAGTTTTATTCCATCCTTCAGAAGTCTGTTTCAGTGCTTCTGAGGTTAGAATTCCACAGACACACTTTTAGTAACAAATATCCAAATCAGGCAGGTTCTGAGATAATTATGGCTGATTCCAGAGTATGAACTTATAAAACCCTTTCTAGGACCTTTAAATCAATGATTTATCTAAACCACAACATTTAACTTTATGTACCAGGACATTTAACCTTTATGTTCTATACATAACACACACACACACACACACACACACAGATATATATATAATTGGAACTATATATATATATATACAATTGGAAATGCATAAAAGCTGTTAATACAAAATTTTTCATGTATGTAGAAAGGCTTTTCTACATCCTCACTGCTTTTCCCCTCTAAAACTCATGAAACAATAGCTATTTAATTGTACATAAAGCCCTCTCAGTGGGATGAACTAGAGGGTGACACTGTAAACTCAGCAAAAGACAGAAGACAGGAGAGGACACAGATCTTATATAAAACCCTATCTATTTGTTATCTCTAGACAACTGAAATTCCTTCCTATATGTTAAATATCATTCCTTATATTTACAAACAAGCATACCATATACCACTCATCAAGGAATCTTCTTTTAACAACACATGTAGGCTAATGCAGAATTCTACAACTGCTCAGACACAGAGAATATGAGTCTGAGAGATGCCCAGTACTATAGTTGACCCTCTACAACTAAGACTCATAGAACACAAGGGAACAAGAGGTAGAGAGAAAACTAATGCATCCCTCAACCCTCACCAGTAAAGCTTCCTTAGACAACAGAATGTAATGTACATAGAAAGCCACAACTGGCCAAGTTTTAAAGAATAACAGACTGCAGAGTGTATATCCTTGGGTAGGACTCCTATATTGAATCTCACCCACCCACAACTCAGGGACCATTGTAGAAGAGGGGGCAGAAAGGTCGTAAGAGTCAGGGCTGATTCACAAAGACAGGGAATCAGAGGCTTTCAGGTCACTGGAAGTTTGCACATGTGAACTTGTAGCAATGTTGGCATTGAACACAGAACCCATGCCAACCCAGAGGGGAGAAGAGGAATGAATAGAAGGTGGCCCTAGACTGAGAATTATTGGTGACTGATTGCTACGGGGTGAGGGAAAGCATGCCTGAAATATGATCTCTAGATGGGCTGACTACTCCAGAGAACAAATTTACACTGAAGGACATGTGGACGCAAATACTTGACTGGATAGGACTTAACATGTTTGGTGAAATACATGAGGCGCAGTGGGGGAATAGGGGAAGGTATGGATGAAGGAGGGGGCTCTAAATTTGACTAAGAACTCTTGTATGAAATTACAAAATCTCA